TTGGTGATGTAGTTGAAGCTGTGATCATGAAAGATCGAATCACTGGCCGTGCTCGTGGTTTTGGTTTTGTTGTCTTTGCAGACCCTTCCATTGCTGAAAAAGTTGTTAAAGAAAAACACATTATTGATGGTAGAACTGTAAGTAACCTCAGTGATTCTTGGACTTATTATTTTTTTATTGGCATAATACATAAACAAGACCCTTAACTTGGCTTTAGCGGATAATACTATGCCCTCGAACTTTGAGTATGCACAAGTAGACATTTAAACTTATATAAAATTGAATAATTAGATACACGTATCGTACATGCATAATACATGTAGTACGCCATGTAGGACACAAAATTTCCATGTAGGGTGCAGCGTAGGATGGATGTGTCTATTTGTTCAATTTTGTACAAGTTTAAGTGCCTACTTGTGCACATCTTAAAAGGTCATAGTTGGCGGCTGACGTCAACAAGTTGAAGGGTCATGTTTATGAATGTTTCGTTTAACATTTTCATTGAAATATTATGTCAAAATTTTTAAGCAAATCCACATGCTCTGACTATGAAGCTTAATATTGAAGGTTAATTGTGTTCTTTTGGCGTTTTTATTGAAATGTTATGTCAATTTTTAAGTAATCCACATGCTGTCTACGAAACATATTGAATGCTAATCGTGTTAGTATATTTTTCAGATTCTCCCTCTGAGATTCTTACCAGTGAGAATGCTAATTGTTGTTCTCTTGAGACCTGCAATAGCTTATGATTACAATAAGATACATTAGAAATGCACTTTCATGAGATTTTCACAGTTCCATGTGTTGGATATGTGATGCATACTGCATCACTTTGACCGAGGAAATTGATTCGGTTTGATGAGTGTTAGTATTACATAAGTGAATCTGTTTGGCGCTACGCAATCGGAAGTAATGCAAGTACTAAGTTATAGCATGCCTGGTCACTAGCTCCAAATGTTCTAATATATAATATTGAATGTTAGAAAGCTAACATGTTGCATGAGATAAAAGGATGTAGCAATTAGTGTTTGGAAATGTGGACCGAAAACCATGCTCAATTAAGCAGAATTAGCTCAGCTGATTTAGGCTATTTATCATAAAATTATCTTCGAACGGTCAGTCAAGACTTTGTAACCTCTTAACCAGAAAACTGTACGTCCATAGCAAGGTAAGGAAACTCAAATAGTTCAGTAATTGTATTCTCAGCAATACAATGTGTGCTCTTTTAGGTAAAGTCAGATATAATGTGAAATCTTATGATAAGAAACAAATGTATACTTTGTTGATTATTACCTTTCAAAAACAGGTAGAGGCAAAAAAAGCTGTTCCGAGGGACGATCAACATGTTAATCGCAACGGAAGCATACAGGGTTCTCCAGGTCCTGCCCGCACCAGAAAGATTTTTGTCGGAGGTTTGGCATCCTCAGTCACTGAGAGTGAATTCAAGAAGTATTTTGACCAATTTGGGACAATCACAGATGTCGTGGTGATGTATGACCATAACACACAAAGGCCTAGAGGTTTTGGATTCATCACGTATGACTCAGAGGAAGCAGTTGATAGTGTACTATACAAAATATTTCATGAACTTAATGGTAAAAGGGTCGAAGTCAAGCGTGCTGTTCCAAAAGAGTTATCGCGTGGGCCAACCCAAAGCCAATTAGTAGGTAGATATAACCATGGCATGAACAGGGTAAACAATTTCCTTAATGTGTATACTCAAGGTTACAGTCCAAGCCTGATGGGAAACTATGGAGTCGGAACGGAAGGTAGATATTCTCCAATCTCTGTTGGTCGCAATGGATACTCTTTGTTTGGTCCAGCTGACTACAATATGGGAACAGAAATAGACTCCAGATTGAACTCAAGCTATGGAGGAAGTGGAAAATTCAGTTCCGTTCTTGGTTATGGACGTAACTTGAATTCCTTTCACAACGAGAATCCAAACAAATACAATATCCCTGTTGGGCATGCCCCTGGAAGAGTTGAAAATGGTCCTGTGTTGAATTCAACAGGTCAGAACAAGTGGGAGAATGATAGTCTTTTTCATGGTACAAATTATGCAAACAGTAGCATGTTTGCTGGTTCCAGAAGCGGGAATACAGGACTATCTAGTGCTTTTGGAGGTCTTGGAACAACATGGGGTACCTCTCCAATTTCTGGCCAAGGTGGACGTAACGGTTCTTTTGGCGATGACAACATCACTTTCAGTGGTGGACAGAATGGATTTGCAGGTGGGGCAGGGTATGGACAAAATGCAAGAAGCAACGCTGATGCTAAATCATCATATGCTCCAACACAAGGTGTTCATGCCAACGCTTTTGGGGATTTTTATGGAACGGCAAGCAGTCCGATTTTTGAGGACTCTACTTGGCGTGCATCCTCTCCAGAGCTAGACAGCGCTGGAGCTCTTAGTTATGGACTGGGGAGTGCAGACTCCCTCAGCTATGTGGGTGGTTATAGTGTTGCAAATAGATCAACTAGAGGTAAAAGTAATTTCCCTATTCCTTTTCTTTGTGTCTTTCTATTTAATATTACTTTTTGATATATTTTAAATGCACAAGAACTGATTAAATGGTAGGCCAGGACTGTTCTACAATATGAAGGGTAAACAAAATGAGGAGGACGTGCGGGTGTAGAATTTAGCCGGAAACCAAATGATATTATTGCTTATTTTGCATAGAATATTATTGATCCGTCAACATTTTTGAAGGATCCAAGCAACGTGACTTGTACTAGATACTAGAAACGAAACTTTAGCCAAAAGCACAGAACATGATGTTCCATGTCCTGCATTTACTATGAACTTCCATTTGTTTACTTACATTCTCTTGGTTTTTCTTCAGGTATTGCTGCCTAGGAAGATTAATGTATGGAATTTGGATATCGAATATTTACTGTAGGTGGAAAATACAACATGATCAAAGTCAGAGATTGTGGATTAAGCATTCCTTTTGGGGAAAACTACTTGAGGCTAAAGGTACATTCACTTAGAGCTAATTCAATACCAACTATAGAACTTTATCGTCAACCATTGTTTACAACATAAAGGGACTTCCTTGTAACGTTTGAACATAGCATTTCTTTACTATAGGCCTTCATTTTCTTTCTTCTTTTCTACATTTGGCATTTGATTGAGATGTAAAGTTGGATAAAGGAATATACTTACGATAATTGTACCAATGCATATTGGGTGATACTATGAGGCTTAAAGCAATTGTTCATTTTCTTGTTGAGATTGTTTTCTTCGTTTCTACGTTCTCTACTAGAGTGTCCAACAACCGCTCTGGTGGTTGTTGAGTTGACATCTTTCCCTTTCTGGATATGTTGCTTGCAGATTCGATAAACTTTTTAATTTCTTGTTAAACTTTTTATAGGTATGATTTTTAAAATTCTGTCACATTTTTCATTAATAATATTTTGTTACCGAGATAGATCATTGCTTCATGATGGTTAGTAAGGATTACACCTACTGTCCATTGTTTTCTCAAAGATTGCTAGAAAACTAAAATATTGAAAGTGAAATTGGCCCATCCAAAATGATACAACTTGTTGTGACAACTAATATCTGTTAAATGTACTTATAGAAACAGCACAACATGCTATAACAAACAAGGTACGTTTTTTTTCTCTTTCTCAATTTATGTAAAAGTATTTGACTGGAATCGAGATTTAAGAATAAAACAAAGACACTAAAAATTTGTGTTTTAAAACAAGTCATAAATATGTGAGTAAAATGATTTCTTAGTGAAAGCATAAAGAGATTTTACTCGTTGGTGTCAACTATTGGAGAGGCGAGAGGGGGTGGGGTCTATTGAACCCAAACCAATTCATGAGGTTTTTCAGATCCGCCCACTACTGAGATACACACAAAATGTATCTAAATATAGGTCGACAAGATTACTTGTATTGGTGAGAGATATCTCGAGAAATATTGAAAGTCATCACTAGCTAAGCTTGGAGATCACCATCATTTTTTTTCAAAAAAAGGAAAGAGCCCACACTGTTTACACCATTTTGCATAGGTCATTTGGCTACAAGTAGGACTAATCCAGAGCAACTTCTATACCCTTTACAACAAGGAGTAATAATTCAAAAGGACCCCATGCCTTTGGACAAATGCAGTGCTCATTTTGGTCCATATAAAAGTGGAGAGAACAATTAAACATCAACTGTCACAACCCTCTATTTGTACTTCTAAATGATTAATGGCTCAAAGAAAACTTTTTCAAAACATATCATATGCCACATTTTGAGAGTTGTGAGATACTACTAGTATTCCAAAAGGGTCCCATGGCAGTATACACTTCACTATCACCTGAATTTAACTTTATGGGAGCCAAATAGAATTAAGTGTGGGATTATCAAAAAAAAATTAGAAGAGGGGACACCAGCCCGATGAAATGGTCTTGTGGCCAATGAAGCGAGAGAAGAACCATGAGTTATCAGTTCGTACGCAAAAAATATTAAGTGCTTCCTTCCCATCTTTCTCAAACTATGGTGGCTAGAGGTACTGATACCTATGCTGGTGAGAAATAATACATATCCTCCGTTTAAAGTGGGAGAAGAACCATGAATTTCCAGGTTCAAATCCGAATACCAAGTGACAGGTATCAGGCTTGAATAGTCGAAATTCGCACCAACTAGTAGGTATATACCAGTGTAAAACAAAAAGGGTTGGAGGACCACAAGGTGTGGCTAACCAACTCATTTAAGCATATCTTTGAACACATCTCAATTGACTAAAGCTTAAGCAAACTCTGCCAGCTAAAAAGTCATGTATAGACAAATATAAGCATAAGATAATTACAAGTACATATTAGGAAAATGATGCTAATAAGGAGAGGTGGGGCTGCTACACCCTCTGTATTCACACCAAGGGGGAAAGATAAACACTTGATACTCTTCTAGTTGTATAGATGGAGACACAAATTTAATAGCTGTATAAATGCCAACAACCCAAACTTGAAGAAAGAACTTAAGCTTTTGACACATTACAGTCATAGAAAATCAAGAAAATATCTCATTAACAGCCAAATATGTTTACAGTCATATAATCAAGAGACTATCCATGTAATCTTGTTCAAGAAACAAAAAAGACTAAAGCATACTGAAATAGTAGCTCTTTTACACACTAAAGAATCATAAAATCAGTAACCCTTTTAGAAGAATTTGGACCACCCAAACAAAACTTAAGGGATCATTATCAAATTCTTACCAAACAACCTCACAGATAATAATTCAAAAGGGACATGAGAACCCTTCCCACAACCCCTGCCAGCACTAAACTTAGTTAAAAATTTATCTATATAGGTCAGTTTCCTTAAAACTAACTTGATATTTATTTTCTTGATTAACCTGACATATGTCATGAACTTCTAAATTTATAACCACTCTGTACAAACTCTTTCAAATCACTTCCTATAAACAGAAAATACTCAAATATAGAAGACCGTCTAAGCTACCTCACTAAGGAGTTGAAGTAGAAGCTTCTTGTCTTGGTTCCCTCAAGTATGCCAGTAATGTTTCTGCCTGCCAAAAACAACCAAGCTTCATTAAGATTAAATTTTTTCATAAAAGACAACTTCATGGACCGTGAAAGCAACATCATTACCAGCATTCAGTGTCTCATAACAAGCACCAATTTTCAAAATATGACATTAACAAATTCAAGAAAACACAGTATTCATTAATGGCACATGGCAACTACAAAGATCCATATGCAAAATTCTTTCCCATGTTCATCTACCAAATCTATACCCAAAATCGGGAACACCCCATGTGACTAATTTTTAGAACTTAGAAGTGAAAATCTTGACATATTTCCCTACTAATTTCAAAATTTAAATTTGAAGTTCGACCTTATTTCTGTTATAAGTTGGTACCATTATTCAAATAAACAGCTATTTTTCTCATCCTAAAAGTAGACATGAATCAATCAATCAACTAAACATCAATCTCAATTAGTACGTTTGGTTGTAATATTCATTTGGAATCTCCATTAAACTCCATTCATGTATAACAATTACACCTAAGTAATACCTACCTATGATTCAAAGGGTAAATGGCGATTAAATGACATATAAAGGATAAAAATTCAATCTTTAGGGTAAAAAATAAGCACAAGTAATTGATCAAGATTTCCTTCCAATGGAATCAAACAGGAAACTCACCTTGTGCTTAGCTTTAGCAGTTCCAGTCTGCGACAATGCGACGAGAGGAGGGATTCCTCCTTCCCTAACAAGAAGTCCTCTATTCCTTACACTATCAACACACAGCTGCAAAAGAGTCATCACTGCGAATTCCCTCCCTTTATCCGATCCATCTTCAATCACTTCCATAAGTGCAGCAATTCCACCTTCCTCAACTATACTTTCTTGCCCCATCTCGATCCCCGTTAAGCTACTTAACACCACCATAGCCTTCTCAGCTAACCCTGTTCCCTCCTCACACACTAACCCCACCAATGGTTTCACAGCACCAGCACTCACAGCCCGTTCTTTGTTCAATCTCACAGTGCATAGCTTATACAACGTCGTTAATGCATCCTTCTTTCCCCGATTCGTCCCGTTTATTAACAGTGCCACTAATGGGGCAATAGCACCACAAGCACCAATGGTTAACTTATTCTCATCTATCAAAGCTAAGCTTAGCAACCCACAAGCTGCATTCTGTTTCGACGTTTCAGTGCCCGTTTTCAACACGTAAATCAAAGATTTTATCGCCCCGGAGTTTGTAATTAAGGTTTTGTTCGGTTCGTGAAGCGATAGATTGAGAAGAGCTGTTACAGCATGTTCCTGGGTCCATGGATCGGAGCACCGGAGAAGCGGTAGCAATGCCGGAATAGCACCTGACTCTCCGATTAAAGCACGATTATCAGCTCGATTTTTAGCTAAAAACCTCAATTTCTCCGCCGCCGATCTTTTCACGGCCACCGACGGTGACTGTAAACTGTCGACGCAGAGTTTCACCGTCGGCTGAAGATCCTCCGGTTCAATGCTTTCGATTATCTCCGTCGAAAACATCTCCCGCTGCAGAAACCCTACACAAGGCTCCGGTTCCGGTTCCGGTTCACTAACGGAGCTCTGATTCGGATCCGAATTTGGGATGTAAGCTAAACGTTCCAACTCGCCGGAAATATCACTGCTATACGCCGAGAAATCACTGAAAGTTTGGGAAATTTCCAGAAATTCCGCATCGGAAAAAGAAGATTTATCAACCGGCGGCTTCTTCGCTAGCTCAGTTAGGCGAAAATCAACGACGGAATCTGTAAGGTTCTCGTAGACCGGACCGGAGTTTTCACATTCGGGTTGGAACAGATTGGAGCGGATAGTGCGCATGGACCGGCCAATTGAACGTCGGTGAGCTTTGGCGGAGGACGGCGGTGGAGTATAGTAATAAGGCCGTGTTTGGGAATGATGGGTAGTAGAAGAAACATGCGAATGAGAATTTTCTAGCGAAACCATATTTGGGAACTTCGCAAATAGAGTTTCAATTATTCAAATGTGAGTTCAGAAATCTCAGATTTGGAGGAAAAGGGTGGCTATTTTAATGGGTTTTAAGAAATTTTCATGGCGGAATTTGTGAATAAAAAGGGAAGAAATGAAATTCGGAAACAGACCAAGAACAATGGAGTTTTCAAATGTGTTTGAAGAATTGTTAGATTTAGCGAAAAGGGTGTTTCTTTTTGTTGATTTAAGAAATTTTCATGGCGGAAATTGAGAAGATAGAGGAACTGAGAGAGAGCTCGAATGAGTGATGAAAATGGTGGATTTATAGAGAGGGGAAGAAGAAAGAAGAAGAAGAGTGGATTCGTCTATTTGGTGGCATTTGATTTAAATTATTACTATTAATTAATATAATCCTTTGTAAGAAATTAATGGCTAGTATTTGTTTCTACATTAAAACTTAGGATTAAATCTAAATTCATACCTTATCATAAAAAAAATTTAAATTTAAATTCATATATCGTAATAAAAACAAGAGACTAATAATTTTGAATTTAAATTTATTTTTATTAGGGATAAATAGATGAGTTTTGAATTATTCTATGACATTAATATTGGTTATTATTATGTATAATTTAAGAACATTGTATACTTCTTTACATATTATAGACTTGTCGTCTTTCAAAGTATTCTAAATTTAAATTCGCAAATTAAATTATTTAATTAAAAATAAATGAATCTCTATATCAACCTCGAATCAAAAATATTCGTTAATGAATTTCAAATCCTTCCATTATGATCTATATTATTAATGGTTAACATTAGTTATTATAATGTATAGTCTAAGAACGTTGCATACTTCCTAAATCTGAATTCACACGTTATAGATTTGCTATCTTCTAAAGTTTCCTAAATTTAAATTCACACGTCAAAATATTTAATTAAGAATAGATGAATTTTTTAATAAGCCTTAGAATAAATATTTTTAGTTAAGAATGAATAAATTTTAATTATTAAAATAATTTTTTATTTTTTATTTTTATGTTCTTAAATTAAAAATAAGTGAAATGTAATAACATCACTTCAATATAGATGATAGATGTAGTATTTTTATTCACTTCACTATTAAAAGTTGACTTAAAAATTGTCCAACAAAAACCTCATTCCTACCAATGTGAGAAATTTAAAGGTCTTAGATAGAAAAATTTAAAAATTAATACATAAGTAATCTTCTAGATTAATTTATAAAAGGTGTATTAACCAATAAGGAGTATTTAACTTGTCAAATTAGCAAGTGTCACTATCTATATGCTATCATAAAGTATTTGAAACCACATAGGAGAAAAGTGGGTGAGGTGAAATACTGCCGTCAATCAAAAAATATTTAAAATTAAAAAAAAAGTTTCTGATAAAAATAATATGGGGTTATATGATCATTTGATATGGTATCATGATATAAAATTATAATATAATATCACGATATAAAATTATGATATAATATCATGATATAAAATCATGAAATGAAATTAAAATTTTGTTTAGACATGTGATATGAATTTTGGTATCATATATTTTCTCATAAACATGAAAATTTCATAAATTCTAAAATCATTAAAATAACGCCGGATTATTTATTCAATCTTATCAAATAAACAAAAAATTATAAAATTGCATAATAAATTATTACATAGCTATTTATTCTCCACTTAAGAATTATTTTAATCTAACTTTCTCAACCTAACTTTCACTTCTCATCAACATATTTGAGTAAAAATGAAACACCTTTCACGGGCTGTTTAAGATTTTACTAGTCAATATTCGTGAAGTATGAGTTAAATTGACTATATGTTTGGTGAGAATAATAAATTATATGTCGGTGAGAATAATAAATTTTAAAAAGTAATGATGTGATTATAAATTTTATTTACTTGTGAAATAAGTGGTTAGTAGATAAAAATGTGGGGTTGTTTTAACAAACTATAAACTTGTGGATCAATTTTTATATTAAAATATTTCAAATCATGATATGGTATTTTCATGAGATTCCATATCATGGTTTTTGGAAAATATGGAATCACATCTCATGATATGGAATCATGAGACTGAATCAGCATAAAATCGCATGTCCAAAAGTTGATTCTATCTCACGATATCATATCATGATATGGTATCGCATGACCAAACGCCTACTTATTTAATTTGTTTTTCATTCGATAATAAGTATTCGTATATGAAATTCCTTTAAATTTTAGAATTTTATGTTGAAAAATTTTGACATTTATTATAGTATTTAAGATCGAAGTTTTCATAGAGATGAGATTTCATCTTAGTTATTTGAGTATTTTTTTTATGTATGAAAATAGTTAACTTGACCTTGATAATAAAAATTTATCTGTTAAAAGTTTTGAAAGTGAAAAAAAAAGAATATCATTATTCCTCAAAGTTCAAGCCAAATATGAACCGTTAAATATAGTTTAAATGCTGATTTGATCATATTTCCTTAAAAAATTTCACACCTTCAAAAAATTATATCCTCAATCAATAATAAGAAATTGAATTAAGCCCATTTTGACCCTAAAAAAATAAGTTGTTTAGAAACAATTGACCCTAATATTTTTATGGATTGTACTAAATAAATGTTACACGGTTGAGTTGATTACAACTTAAAATCATAATTTTATATTGCTAATTAAAAGGATCATGTTTATTCTTGTTTAAGTACATGAAAAATATTTAAACGTTAGATTAGAGCACGACCAAACAATATTAGTTAATATCATACTATTTGTAATTAATTACATGATATTTGACAAGTCATACGCATTAATTTTGTCGTTGACGAATTTGAGGAAGATTTAATTGTGGGGTGTGATCAGAGAAATATTTATTTATTTTTTTCAAAAAAAAAAAATTATTTTCTTTCAAGGTTCATTTTTTATTTTTAGGAATTTACCAATATTAAATTATGATTTTTTGGAGTTTATGATGTGTGTAAGCATATGAATTTCTTAGAAAATTATTATCAAATTCTGTTTGATCTCAAACAGTATGGGCTTTATCATGATGATATAACTTTTTATTTTTTTGCGTTTCAAGGTCCTGAAATTCAAATTTAGGATTAGTAAAGTTTTTTATGTATAAATACATATTTTTTTTTTTAGAATTTGTCATTCGTATTCTATTTGCCTTGAAATCTTGAAGGTCCATGCCACACGTTTCACCACGATTGACATAACTTTATTTTTTTAAAAACATTTTAAGGTTCTAAAACATGAATTCACGATTATAAATTTCTTTAGTATGTATTAGTATATATATATATATATTCGAGAAATTATTGTTGGACTTCATTTTTTTTCCCGAAAATTCAGAGGATCCATCCCAAAACGACAAGAATTTTGCCATGAACGACGTCACTTTTTCTTTTGTTGAGTTTCGGGTCGTATAATATTAAATCGTAATTATTTAAATTTTCGATATGTATTAGCCTATGATTTTTTTTTTCTTAGAAAGAAAAGTTGGTTAACTCTATTGGCCTTAAAATTCAAAAGATATTTTATCTAGTTTAGTTCATCTTTTAATTTATTAAGTAATAGGAGTAGGGTTGCTACTTTTGAAATATTTTTGTTCTGATCCAAATTAGACATACTTATTTAACTTATAGTGAAAGTTTGTATCAGTATGGATCAAAGCGGAATACTTTATAAATCATCAATTCTAATTTCAATTAATAATCTCATATTCGAATCTCAAATTATCAAAATTCAAAATATAAAATGAACCTTCAGTCTTTTACTAATTTTTCGATATTACAAAAAAAAAGAAGGATAAAATAGTAAAGTAGCAACAAATTAAATTGAGTATAATACTCCAAAGTTAAGTTACGTAGACAACTTTGTATTGTATGCTCATTCATATTTCATTTTCAAAATATCATAGTATCCCTTTCTTAGATGATGTTTCCACGAAATTTCATATACATATATATGTTTGGTATCTTAAAGAAAGACAATAAAGAAAGAGAAAAATATATTTTTAAAAATATTATGTCGAAAGAAATGCCATTAAAAATATTAGATTTCATATTAGTTAATTACGAATAATATTATTATTATTATTTATTAATATCATAGTCAGATATGGAGACAACATTATTATAGGACGTGTGCAAAAAACTTAGATGTAAACGCACGTACTTCTTTCTAAGTGAGTTGTATAATTGTACTAATATAAATAAAAAAAAATTCAAAAGAAAAAATTTATATTACTATCTTTTCTCGAATTCAATATTTTAATAATTCATGGGTAACTTGTATAGTTGTATGATTACTTTTTAGTGAGAAAAATTTGTTAATCAAATAATTCAATAGCAATAGATTAATAATAATTTTTTTTATTCAATTTATTGATCGATTCGATTATTACGCTGGGATCCACCAAATTAAGATCTAGATTTGGTACTGCTCCTCTGCCAAATATCAACTGTTTAATTGTTAGGTAACGTCGATGTTTCACATCCTCTTCGTACATTTTTATTTGCCCACTTTAACTTTGATCAAGCAAAAAAAAATAATTACTAATTAATTATAGCGAAATATAATTTGTTTTGTTTCAATTTATATGATGTATATATTAGTAGATATTTTGATTGAATCAATAAGAAAATAAAAAATAATAACAGTGTTTTTTCACATGAAAAAATTAGAATTTTTTTTTAGTATTTCAATGAAAATTTATTTTTCATTGTGCATTTTCTTAGTGAGCTAGTTCAATGAAGAATAAGGTTGAAAAATATCATATGTTGGAACACAAATTTTAGGTGGAAAAATTCTTTGTTTGCGTATGTACACAATTTAAGAAAGAAAGAATTACTCCCTCTTATGTGACAACATTTAACTGGACACGGAGTTTAAGAAATAATGAAGACTTTGAAATATTTATCAAATTGCCTTTTAAAAAAGTAAACTCGTTTTTCTCTCTTCTCATAAATGTATTAGGTACTATATTTAAAATTAAATGGACCAACAAAGGTAAGAAATGAATTGTACCTTTAAATACTTACCATATAAGAAAATGTGACATTCGTTTTTAAACTGATCAAAAAAAATGATGCCACATAAAATGAAAAAAGACGGAGGGAGTATTAACTTTTGAAACTCGCGGTCTAAAACTATGTCATAGATTTAAATCATTAATCAATTAGTTCTCATAAAATACATGATGAGTGTCTTAATACCAAAGATTCATACATAATTATATATCATGACTTGCATAATTAGATTCTTAATTAATTTAAACATTTTAGCGGCTCCTGCGGAATTCTTTTGGCTTATATACAATGATGCAAGGAAAAAACAACAAACCAATCAATTTTTTTAATTATATGTAATTAG